TGCGAGGGTAGTCCTGCCCCTACGCATCATCGTCAGCATCATTATACACGTCAGCTAGAGGTGGGAAAAACCTCAGCTGTTGTGCCGCAATACACAAAGGAAAAGGAAAATAAATACAGCAGTTGCATGCCAGCTGAGCTACCAACAACGGATAGGCATCGTTCCGGTAAGCTATCAGCCGGCTACTGGGCAAAATGAAAAAATATTATGCTTTATGCTACGAAATGTGATCGTGGGTGGACGGGGAGGCTAAAAGGATGGGAAGGGACAAAGAAATTCTCAGCAGGAAAGCGACTGAGGTCGGCTCCTTGCCATGTCAGCAAGTATATCCAGCCAAACGTGTTCATCGTCTTTTGGACCCCAATCAGGAAGCCGTGACGCTCCAGCCGACGCCAGCTCCGAAGTGAGGGCCTTCATTCCTCTCGACTAAGTCATCGCTTGGCCACCCCTCATCTTCTTCCATCCACACCCCCGGTGAGCAAACAACGCACGTCGCGGGAGTCGGTGGGCTGGCATGCGCAACAAGTGGCCCAGGCATCAGAGCATGGTGCGTGAAATAACGGTGCTGAGCGGTTCAGTTCCTTTTCCTGTGCCATAAACAAGGCGTCGAACACGCTTGTTACTCACGCGATGTTCCCACCGGATGTGAGCTAAATTGCAAAGGCACCGGTGGTCGTACGTAACTATCCTCGTTATGTTCGCCCATCTTAGGGCCAGGTTTCGCAACCGTACAGTAAGGTTGAACGTACTGCTGCATTGTACACTCTACCCTTCAAGGCAAGAGTGATGTCGCGCCGCCGCCATAAGTGGCGAAGGTTAGCAAAAGCACTTCGAGCTTTTGCTATACGATTCGTGGTCTCGTCTTCGATCCCACGGGCGCTGATACAACTTCCCGGGTAGTTGAATTTCCGAACGACTTCTGGCTGATCCCCACCAAGGATCAGCGCAGGAGGCGATCCCTGCCAATGTTTGAGGAATGCTTTGCACTTCGATGGTGCAAAGCAAAGCCCGAAGTGGCTGACAGCCAGTGCTAGTCTGTCCAGTGCAGCTTTGCACGTCTGGGAGCTGTCATAGATCGGGGCAATATCGTCAGCATACTCCAAGTCAAAAAGTCGTTCTCCTAGGTGCAGATCCACACCTACGTTATGCCTTGTGAACGCGATTTCCAGGACTTCGTCAATAGCGAACCTGAAGAGTAAAGGTGACAGCAGGCATTCTTATCTCACACCGCTGAAAATATTGAAGAGTGGCGACAGCTTGCCGTTAGCTCTCACTCTGCCCGTGCTACGCGCATATAATGCTCGGATAATATTTACATATTTCTCGGGCACATCTTTTTTGAGTAGACAATTCCAAAGGGCACATCGTTCAACCGAATCAAAGGCACCTGTGATGTCGAGGAACACGACTACGCTGGGCCGCCAATTGTGTGACGATGCTCCAACGACTGACGCAACGTGAAGATGTGGTTGATGCAGCCACGACCTCGACGAAACCCGGCTTGCTGCTCACGAATCTGGCTTTCACAAGCGCCAATCAGTCTGTGAAGGATTATGGAGGCGAGTAATTTGGAGGCGATGGAGATCTGACTGATTCCTCTATGGCTGCCGCATTCCGAGCGTGAACCTCCTTTGAGCATGGGAACAATAACGGAGCGGCCCCAGTCGGTAGGGACAGTTTCTTGCTCCCACAGTTTCACTAATAATTCATATAAAGCGTCAACAAGAGCAGAGCCTCCGAATTTGAAGAGGGCTGGAGGAAGATCTTTTGGTGTCGCGGCTTCATTGAACTTCAACAGTCCGATCTCACGTTCGACTTCTGAGCACGAGGGTGGATCTAAAGAGACAACCCACGGAGCAGTGCAATCACTGGTGGGCGAAGAATCGAACAATTCTAGCCGATTAAATTGCTTTTCAAAATGTTCAGCCCAACTCTCCAAACGTTTTGACAAATTATGGATAGGCGTTCCACTCTCATCACAAATTGTTTCACTAACACCAGGTCTCCTGCTACCCGTTTCCCGTCTCAGGCAGAATAACTTACGATGGTTGCCAAGGTCAGCGGCCACTTCCATCTCTGACGCACGATGTGACCACCAAACTTCTCGGTCTCTCTTTAGGCTAGCACGGAGCTCTTTGCGAGTTTCATTGTGTTCGCTTCCAGCCGGAATATGCCGGCGTGCGTCGATAAGTTCCAGAGACTGTGGAGAGACCCAATATCCATGTTGGCTATTAGACAAATCACATGAGGATTTGCCGGCTGCTAGTAAAGTCTGGTGAATATGAGACCAGTGACCATCAATTGTCTCCAGTGAGCGCTTTCTCAACTCGCATGTCAGCGTACTTTGATACGCATTCAGAACAGCTGGCTTTGTCAATTGGCCGGTATCAATGCGCTCACAACGTCGTCGTGGGCGTCCACCAAAACGCATCCGCGTGTCAGCACATACAAGTGCATTATCGGTGTCCCCACATGTGCTCCAAATCGAGCGACAGTTCTGGATGCAGCCTCTCCATCGGTAACTTATCGCAATGGGATCTGTCTGTCTAATGCTGCTTCGAGACTGGTGGGCGCCAAGTCACCCTCCGGCGGGTGCTGTGTCGGAAGGTAATGCTCGCAAGAAATAAGCGAGCATCTTCACACAAATGAAGTAACCGCTCAACGTTATCATTACAGGAGCCTACACCGTGCTGACCACGCAGATGCATTTCATCACTGAACAACTTTCCAACTTGTACGTTCAGATCCCCCGCCAGCACAACAGTGTCCGTGCTTCTTCTGTGGCGAAGGAGCTGAGTCAGTTGACATTAGAAGTCATTCTTTACCGAATCATCGCTACAGTTTGTGGGTGCTTAGGCAGCGATGATGTGTAGACACTTATTAGTCCCGCGCGACTTCGAAGCTTTAAACGAGCCAGCCAATCGGACCGCACATATCCGGCTACTGATTGGACTCCAATCAACCAGAGCAGCTTCAGCCCGGGGACCCAGGGCAATGCAAACACCAGCTTGGCCGGTGCTCGAAGCTGCATCGTCACCGGATAGGCGTAATGAGAAACTGCTGCTGGTGCCACCTGGAGGGGATCGCAGAGTGAGCACAGAGCTCGAGTCTTGCAGGCGGGTCTCCGATAAGCAGCAGATATCGATCGAGAGGGTCTCTAATGTTCGGGCAAGTGCTGCCTGCTGACCGATCTGTAGCAATATGCGTACTTTAAGGCATGCCAATTTGAAGGAGAATCGAGGGCTCCAAATGGAAGCCGATGAACTGGAATGGACCCCTTGGTTGGACATGGGCTTGTGGACAGGAGAGCAGTGACTCTGCGCGTTAGCATGTGAGTTAAAATTAGACGATAAACGCCTAACGAAGCATGTTGAGGTAGGGCCAAGAGTCGGGGATTGAAAACAGGGGGGATAAAAGTGAAGTTGGAACGGGACGGTAAGATTGAAAAAGCATAAGAGTTGGAATAAGAAGACGAGAGGCTTGAACCGTAGCATCCAAAGCCCTATCCACTCTGCTCGATGTAGCAGATAGGGTACCGTTGATTATGCTCTGCGTTCGCCAGAGCATCAGAAATTTGTTTGAAGATAGCTTCATTGTATTGCGTGGGCAGGATGCTGTCAGGTTGCCCACACCTAGACAGAATTACGATTAGGGTTCTCAACTAAAGCCTTTGGTTCAAAAACCTGACCACATAGCAGCGGGGTTTGGTGTTGGGATCCAAGGAGCCCGTTTTAAGGAATAAGGTGCCACCCTCATTCCAACCTCCAACCTGGAAGACTTGGAGGCTGAGTTTGTCTGGCCTCTAGAAGGTGTCAGCTTATACGCCGTAACGGCGCTTCGCTGCCGCGCGACCACCACTAGTCGCGCGCGGGCTGAGTATACCGCGAGGACGCCCACCCCTACGCGGATTCGAACCGGTGACCTTATGGTCGGAAAGCAAACGTGCCGACCACTCGGTCACCTGGCCTCTACCACTGACCAATCTGGTATGAGTGACTCTGAAGGTGCAAAAGCACCACCCAGTATAGCTCAATGGATCGCTGAGGCACACAAACCATCGCACCACGGTAACGTCCAGTTTCATTGCGATGGCTGCCCCTACGCAGGCTCGATCCAGCGCCACCAGATTACAAGACGAGCTCGTTACCTCTAGGCTACGGGCTGCCGTTGGCTCCACACGCCTGCTGATTGGTAACCCAAAGACGAAGAGTGGTGATGATTCGGAACACTTCAGGATATGGTGCTCTATCGAAACCAGTAATAGTCTTGTTTAATACTTGTTTCGAATCAGATGCCTAATGCCTAACAGTTGAAAAATACAAAAAAGGGAAAAGTAGCTTGTGCAGAAGAATAAAATGTTCCGTATTTTATTGTGCACAGTAGCTGAGTTGCGTCACACGTCTTCATGTGTCATGATGCTGATAATGATGATGCGGCTGTTGTGCCCGTCGTCTTCCATTAATTTCTATGGTTTGTTTGGCTTTATGTATATTCAAAGGACTGTAGCTAATTCATACAGGTAATCTCACTGCCGATTTAGGCTATTCTTGTGATTTCGCTCCACACATTCACGACATTTAAGATGTGCAATTAATCCTTGACCGAATGGTAGTTGTAGATTCTAGTTGTGGTTCGTTCTTTGTCTCTTCTATGTGTAAAGTACCGTCATAGGGCTGACGGACCACTTCTTCTACTCTCTATCGAAGCACACAGTTTGAACTTAGGGGCTCTTTTGTTCACCCAGGGAGCTACGTTTTGGCCATTGACACTATTAGAGAGGAGATATTGCTTTTTATCGTCTTTTACCCGTTTGCGACATTTTATCGTTATCACGACCTTTCACTTTTTAATGGATAGAGTTTACCATATGTTCAATCGTTTCTTTGCGTGGAATTTTTCCTTTTCGATTTGTGCACGAGCTTATGGTACCCTGAATAACGGCACAATCGAAGCCACTTCTGGATACTTGGATAATTATTCTGATGTGTGTTTTTTTCCAGGATAATGCTCGGCGGATCCCACAGATGTGGCAACCTTTGAGTCCCTGGATCCTGAGACCGAAACCCGAGCATGCAGAGATACAGCCGTCAACGGCATCTTCAAACGCCGAAAGCATTAGTGCTTTCTTGGATCCTCGGGATGGCCCACTGGATTCCTGGGCGCATCCTTCTGTCGATCAGTCATTCAAGTCCGAGCAATGTGCTCCTATGAACACAGTGGACGAAAATTCTAGATCTACGCCGGAGGAAGCGTTTACGCCTACTGTTTCGAAACCAGGTATTGGTTGTCCTGTTGTACACATATGCGTACATGCTTGTACATGTAATTTAACATTTGACTAACATTGCAGTTTGCGGAATGCCACAGCATATGGATGAAGCTGGTGGAACTAAATGGAAGACTAGAGGACTAAAGTCTCCCTAAAATTTCTGTCATCGAGTTCTTATGTTAGCCATATCCCAGAGAATTTACAATCTATTATACTTTTGGCCGTTGGGACAATAATCACCGCAGTTGTGCACTATGCCGAAACTGTTAGTGTGACGTTTAGATAGTCACGCAGGATATTATGGCCAAAATCAAAGAAACTGCTCCAAATCGTTTGGCTAAGTACACTTGTTGACTTGTCCAGGAGCCGACTTAAATGTCGTTTGTCTTGGAAGTTTCTTTGTCCCTTCTCTCCCGCTTAGCCTCTTCCAAACAGGACCTCATTTATTAGGCCTTTTTGGGACACGATATCCGGCTGTTAACCTTCCGAAACCATGTTCATCCGTTACTGGTGACTCAGCTAGCATGCCTCTGTTTTATGTTTTTTTCTTTTATTTTGTATTGCGGCACAATAGGTGACTGTTTTCCACATGCAGCTAGCGTACATAATGACATTGATGATGATCACCAGCGATTGACGCAAGTTGATCATATGGCGATCAGTTTCCGCTCGAATGGCTGAGTCCAAAACTGTCGGTCGATTTGGATCACTGTACGATCGCCTACCATACACTCGTATGCACTGGTCTGCTAGTGCGTTTTGGCGGACGCCAAAGACGATCTTGTTAGCGGATAGACACCAATAAACCGGCCAAGCAAGGTGTTCTGAATGCGTATCGAAGTACGATACCATGCGGGTTCAGTAAGCGCTCAATGAATAAAACTAAAGGTCACTGGTCGCATGTTCACTTGACCTTACTAGCGGCGGACAAATCCTCATTTGGTAAGTCTAATAGCCAACATGGACATTGGGTCTCTTCAGTCTCCGGAACCTCTCGATGCTGACTGGTACATTCCGGCTGGAAGCCGAGCAAAACTCCGTGCTAGCATGAAGAGAGACCACGGATCTTGGTGGTCTCATCTTATGCCAGAGATGGGAGAGGCCATCGTCTTTTGTAACCATCGGAAGTTATTCCGTCTGATGCAGGAAACGGGCAGCAGAAGACCTGGCCTCAGTGGAACCATAGGTGACGAGAGAGGGCAGCCCATCTACAACTTGTCAAGACGCCTGGAGCGTTGGGCTGAGCACTTTGAAAGGTAATTTAATCGGCCGGAATTGTCAGATTTCTCACCGGCAACTACTCGCTCTGCTCCGTGAGCTGTCCCTTTGGATCCGCCCTCTCACGCAGAAGTGGAACATGACATCGGACTGCATAAGTTGAATAAAGTCGCGGGACCAGATGATCTTACTTCAGCCCTCTCCAAACTTTTAGGCCCTGCTCTTGTGCATCATTTACATGAGTTGCTAGTAAAACTTTGGGAACAAGAAACTGTCCTGACAGACTGGGGCCATTCCGTCATAGTACCAATTTTCAAGCCAAGCTCACGATAAATGTGGTAACCCTAGAGGAATCAGTCTGCTCACTATCGCCTCCAAATTATTTACCTGTGTCATCCTTCACAGACTGACTGGCACTTGTGAAGGCCAGATTCGTGAAGAGAAAGCCGGGTTTCGTCAAGGTAAAGGCTGCATCGACCACATCTTCACTTTGCGTCAATTATTAGAGCCCTGTCATATATATTGGCGGCGCACCGTTGTCTTGTTCTTCGATTCGGTTGATCGATGTGTCCTGTGCTGTGCCCGAGAAAGATGTAAATATTATCCCAGCGTTATATTCACGTAGCTCGGACAGAGTGAGGGCTTACGGCAAACTGTCGCTGCCGATCGATATCTCCAGTGGTGTGAGACAAGGATGTCCACTGTCATTTTGACTCTACAATTTCGCCATTGACGAAGTCATGCAGATCGCGTCCACAGGACACGAATTAGAAGGTGTAAAGCAGCTCTCAGGCGAATGACTTCTTGACTTGGAATATGTTGACTATACTGCTTCCATCTGTTACAGCTCCCAAGCGTGTCAAGGGGCACTGGATAGATTATCACTGGCTGTCAGCCGTTTCTGACTATGCTTTACCCCTTCGAAGTGTAAGGCTTTTCTCCAAGATTGGCTGGGACTGGCTGCTGCGCTGACCCTTGGCGAGGATCAGCTGGAAGTCGTTCAAAAATTTAACTACCAGGGGAGTTGTATTAACGCCCTTGGGATCGAAGACGAGATCACGAATCGTATAGCGAAAGCTCAAGGCACTTATGCTAACTTTTGCCGCCTATGGCGCTGGCGCGACATCACTCTTTCCTTGAATCCTAGAGTGTGCCATACAGCCGTCCGTTCAACTCTCCTTTACGTCTGTGAAACCTGGCCTATTAGATCAGCGGACAAAAGGGGGCTAGTTACGTTCGACCACCGGTGCCTTCGTAGTTTGGCTCACATCTGGTGGGAACACCGCGTGAGCAACCACCGAATTCAATGCCTTGTTTGTGGCACATGAAAAGGGAAGGAAATGCTCAGCACCATTATTTCACGCACCAGGCTCTGATGGCTGGGCCACGGGTTGGGCATGCCAGTACACCTACTCCCGCGACGTGCGTTGTTTTCATGCCAAAGAGTGTAAACGAGAGAAGAGGAGAGGCGGCCAAGCGACGACTAGGTCGAGATCAACAAAGGCGCTTAGTTCAACACCGGCCTCGGTTGGAGCCTCTGGACTTCCTGGCTGGGGTCCGGAAGATGATGAACATGTCTGGCTGGATACACTTGCTGTCATGACTAGGAGTCGACCTCAGTGGCGTTTGTGTTGTGTTTCTTTGTCCCTTTCTATCCCTGTTGGCCTCCCCCCTAATCGTGATCTCATTTCTTAGAATAATACAAATATTGCTTAATAAAATTATTTTACTGCATAGTAGCTGGCTGGTAGCTTTCCTTAACGATGCCTAACTGTTACTGGTAGCTCAGCTGGCGTGCACCTGTTGTGTTTTTTCTTTTCTTGTGTATTGTGGCAAAGCATCTTAGGCGTTTTCCACTCTTGGCTAAGGTGCATAATGATGAATGATGATGAGGATAATGACTGTATCCGGGCTGCAGTCAGTGGGAACGTAGGCAAACATCACGGAAAGAGCACCCTTGGCTGGTCGGTGCCGGCTAATCTTGTAATTACCACGGAGACTCAAGCGCAAAGGTGACTGTAGATTAGAATCCAATCAAGGATGGCGTCCTCAGCTCTGGCACTGAGGGCAATTACAACACCAGCTTTTCCAGATGCGGCGGACTCAGCGTCATCAGAAAGGCAAAGATACAAGTGGTTAACTGGTAACGACAGCTGGTAGACTGTGTTGGAATCCTGAAGTCGTGTTTCACTCAGGCAGCAGACATCGACTGCAAGTCCAATTTGCTCTCCGATCTACAATAATGGGAGCACGTTAAAGGTTGCCAGTTTGAGCTGAATTCCAGGCTGTAGCGGCGAAGATGATAGACCTCAGCGCCTTGGTTATGATGACGGATAGTAAGAGAACAACTTCATCGGCGGAAGAAGGGTTGCTGACCTTTCAGTAATCAAGTAACAATGGATGTGAATAATCCAAGGGAAGGATAGGTAAATTGCTGGCGTGTGTTTCTAGAGTTGGCGTAGTCGCAGGACAGTGGATCATCGTGAGAGCGGAAGACCGTGGATACAGTTGTTGGGTTCCATGGTTCATCAGTAAGCTAGGTGCTACTCGGTTGCCTAGGCCGAAGTAGGTGGATTGTATAAGGGAACCAGGACCCCGAACCTTTATCCGAAGCGCCTAATCTACAAGGCAGCAGGGTCAAATAAGAATTTCGCACCCGTTGGGAGTCGGTGATTGAACATTCGGTTCATACGGCTTTCGGATGGCGAAAAACCATATCTGGGCCCAAACACTCCCGAAGTCAAAGGCGTTATGCGATGCTTGGATTGCTTGCCGGTGTACAATGTCTCCAAAGGAGACAAGAGGCGGTGACTTTATCTAGTGGCGAGTCTCATCCGCCACGTCGCATTGTTGTTAAGCGGACACGAGGTTTTTATAGGGAGAACGCTTACCAAGCGTAAACCCACGACGTGCTGGAACATTGCCGCCGAACCATTCGCCGGAATGAAGAATACTCGAATCGCCCAGGTAGCACCGCGGGGAAGTTGTTCGACAAGCCGGCCAACTTCGGCGAGGAAGCATGATGTATGCAACATCTGCCTCAGGATGATACACCGCATGAATACGAAATAATAGGCAAAAAATCCAACATGCAAACTGGATGGAAAGTTTACGGTAGAATGACAAAACTGAACGCATTAGTAAAGTGCAAGAGTCTTGCTCTATTGATGGGATGCTCTTGGGCAAGTGTAAGCACAAATCAGGGCATTTCAACCGACTGACGTCAAAAATGAGTGAGAAAAAACGCTCCACATAAATAGGGAAGATACAGAGGATAACAATAACAGAGGAAATCAAACTAAGCAAATTAGATCAATGTTAATGTAATGCGGAAAGTTCACATTAGCGCAACTGCGGTGAAATTTACTAAAAGAGGACCATTCTCACTCTCATTGAGTTAGGCTATCACTGTTGTCTTTTAAACAAGGCTTTTCAGGTAGAGAGAAACGCATGAACAATAAAGCCATCATGCGTTTCGCAGTATATGAAGGACAATCAGTACTCATAAGCCCATGCCTGTTTCTGCAGCCAACATGTAGGTGAAGGTATCAACAGTCTATAGTTCCTCGATGTCGTTAATCAAGGTGTTATCACATGGCGGAAGACATTTGATTCCTGATTCGCCTGTCACTGCGGCCTCCACGGGGTCAGTCATTGGATGCCTTCAGCTATATGGGGACAGTGGATGATTTGACCTACACCATACACACCTCTATCCACGCACTCCATATCCTGTGAAAACCCGAAGGCATAAGACCAGGAGGCATGTAGAAGGAAGCCAGATTACTTC